TACAATGAGCACGGCGCTGTGATCGGCATGGTCGGCATCGGGCAAGACATTACAGACCGCATTGCCCAAGAGCAAGAATATACACGGCTGATTGACACTGCTAATGCCCCGATCTTTGGTGTGGATATTAACGGGCGTGTGAACATTTGGAATCGAAAGGCGGCCGATATCATGCAATACACGAACGAGGATGTGTTGGGCAAGGACTTGGTTGCTGAATTCATTTCGAATGAATACAAGGTTCCTGTGCGGAGCGTGTTGGAGAAGGCTTTTGAGGGTATCGAAACTGCCAACTTTGAGTTCCCGTTGATCACGAAGGCAGGTCGTCGCGTGGAAATCTTGCTAAACGCAACACCTCGTTACAATGAGCGTGGTGAAGTGATGGGTATGGTTGGTATCGGCCAGGATATCACGGAGCGTATCGCGCAGGAGGAGGAGTACAGTCGACTGATCGACACTGCCAACGCTCCGATCTTCGGTGTGGATATCAATGGCCACGTGAACATTTGGAACCGAAAGGCTGCTGACATCATGCAGTACACTAATGAGGATGTGTTGGGCAAGGACTTGGTTGCTGAATTCATCTCGAATGAGTACAAGGTTCCTGTGCGTAGTGTTCTCGAGAAGGCGTTCGAAGGTGTTGAGACTGCGAACTTCGAATTTCCGTTGATCACGAGGGCTGGTCGGCGTGTGGAGATTCTATTGAACGCCACGCCGCGATACAATGAGCGTGGAGAGGTCATGGGTATGGTTGGTATTGGCCAGGATATCACGGAGCGTATTGCTCAAGAGCAGGAACACAGTCGAATGATCGATACTGCTAATGCTCCGATCTTTGGTGTTGACACGGATGGGAGAGTTAATATTTGGAATCGGAAAGCAGCAGACATTATGCAGTATACCAACGAAGATGTTCTCGGCAAAAACCTGGTTGAGCAGTTTATCTCTGAAGAATACCGTGTCGCCGTTCGAAGCGTTCTTGAGAAAGCTTTTGAGGGAGTCGAGACGGCAAACTTCGAGTTCCCGTTGATTACAAGAGCAGGTCGTCGCGTGGAAATCCTCCTGAATGCGACACCTCGATACAATGAACGCGGTGAGGTTATGGGAATGGTTGGTATCGGTCAGGATATTACGGAGCGTATCGCTCAAGAACAAGAGTACAGCCGTTTGATCGATACGGCCAACGCTCCAATTTTCGGTGTGGACATCAACGGTCATGTGAACATTTGGAATCGAAAAGCTGCTGATATCATGCAGTACACGAACGAGGATGTGTTGGGTAAAGACCTTGTCGCGGAGTTCATCTCGAACGAATACAAGGTTCCTGTGCGGAGCGTGTT